GCCTCCAGTCGACTGGGACCTCCCCAGTTAGATCTTCCTGTAGAGCACAGTGTAGATCTTCTTGGGCTTGGGCCAATTATTGTAGCCTTACTGAGTCTTTCTGGAGAGTATCCAGACTGGATCCTTCTGGTTTCAGACTACTGACACCAGGTTTGGGCTCTGGAAGCTGCATGGCCATTGGGACCAGCCATTGAAGCCTTCGTTGTGGGTTCTGAAAGCCAGCGCATGCCTTGGGGGAGATGCCCACACTGTGCCTTGGACAGGTTGTGGAGACTCAATGTTTGTACTTCAGACACCTGAGCAGAACTTAGTCTGCCCTGGATTGCTCTTCCCAGGGGAAACCAGAAAATCAATCCATTCTGAGAGTGGAGTTACTGTGCTTCTACAGCTATAGGTGATTTTTTTTTTCTTTTTTCCTCCTTAAACCTACTGAAAAGGGTTACTTATGCCTTGGATTTTCCCTTTACAATTGAAACTAAAGCTCACACATCCCTGTTTAGCTACTGGGCTTTGAGTGCTCTGCAGTTTAATGCTACTCCCCTGCACTTGTACAGGGGCATGTACAATTTGTGTGGGGGTGCACAGGGTAGGTATACCACAGTTGAGGTGTTCCTTTATAGGACAGTTGATGCAGTGATGATGCTCAGCTGTTCAGCATGGCTAGTTTTTGCAGAGCTCCAGTATCCTAGGCCAGGTAACTGTTGAGCTTTCCTGGTCCAGCAAAGGGATAGATAACAAGCAATGAAGGTTCTCGTGTCTTACATCCCAAGTAGATGGTGTGCTGCATGTGGTACATACTTCAGGGCTCTTTGCTGGTCTCTGGGAAAACATCACGATGCCTGAGCCTGAATAGGTGTTAATTTTACTCATATCCTCCTGATAAAGGCCAGTGAACTTCTGTAAGGGAATGCCATTTGTCTGTCAGTATGGAGACATCTCTGTCCATCCATGTTGTTGGTTTTATAAGAAAGTCCGTTATTAACCAGCCTGATTGTGAGCTAACAAATGACTCCTAATTGCAGTCCTTTTACATTCTTCATGGTGAACTTTGGGCCAGGTGTCTTTCTGTTTGTAGTGATGCTTTTATGCCTTACTTTGGACATTGGCAGGTACAGCCATTGGCTTTTCTCTCTGCCCACTGATCTGCTGTCAAGATCTGCTCAGGAGGATTGCCTTCATCACTGAAGGAAAAGCTTGTACGATGGCTGGTATGCAGGTTAATGTCTTGGTGTTAGAGAACAAAGAATGAAAATCCATCGTGGTCTTTAGGGTATTTAAGTGTCTTTACTGAAAACTGAGGGTTTTGCAGCTATTGCACTGTTCTTGGTCAGGAATAACAGCTTGTCTACTGAGCAGGGCACTTGTTTTCCTTTTGTCATCTGCCCTTTCTGGAAGCCATGATTCTGTGTGTCCGCCTTCTCTGTACCTTTCTGGAGCCTGTAACGTCCTGGTGGCAGTGGCAGGCTGGTTTTGTGCAGACCCTTCCCCACTGTTATCAGGTGTGATACCACAGTACAAGCCACCCTGGGAATGGTTGGTGCTTCTGAAGAATTGCTTCCCTCTATTACTCCTGCAGTCACTGTTCAAGCATCTTTTGCAGTGTGGGCCATGCAGATAGAAGTAGCCAGGCCATGTACAAGGGTGTCCTTTAATGAGGGAACTCCAGGGCAGTTGGAGTGAATGTCTTGAAGCTGCAAGAGTGCATTTTGCTATCACGTCCTGCGGACTTGTCTGTCTACCCTGTGTCTGTATGTCTCTGCTAGATGTGCTGTTCCAGACCACTTGGATAGGGGCTTTCCTGGCTTTGGCTGAAGTCATTTGGTGTTGGAAAAGAAAGAGAAACAGGAGGACAGGCATGGTGATGGCTCACAGTGCCTGTCTGGGACACCTTGCAATTGCTCACATGCACCCTGTTGCAAAGAGGGTACAGTCTGTGAGGGACCCTTCAGGTACTGCCCTGCCTTTAAAGATGTGTATATGGAGATATTCACCTTCACTCTGCTTCTCAGGAAAGTCAGGCAGGATGTGGATGAGGTAATTTAATTATGCCAACATGTTGAAAGCAGTCTGGTTTTCAGAATGCGTTCTCTCCCTCGGCCCCAGGTAGCTTTAATTGCCCTTCAGTAGATTTGAGGAGATGGCACCACCAAAAACCTGACTCTGCATCTGCTGACATGGTTATTTGGTGATTTCTGGAAGAACTAGCACCTGCACGCTTTTTTACCAGTGAGGTGATCCTTGTGGATAGCAGAAGATTAGTTTAGCAAATGCAGAAAGGTATTTAAAGGGACTGTGCTTGTGGTGTGAATTTTCTGGATTTGGGAACAAAGGATTTCTCTTGGTGAGAGTATTTCTAACATCAGTATTGACATCCATGCTCACCCACAAAAACACACATAAATGAAAATTTTCATCTGTGCAAGGTGATTTCTTTCTCCAGTGGACTATCTGCCATTTGGGAGATCTTGTTTCTCATCGGGATCTTAACAGCGTTCCTCCTGCATTAATGAGTTGGTCAATCAAGCCTTACATCTTTGTGTTTCCACCTCTCTTTGTAAAAACAGCATTTCCAGTGGCTTTTGCTTTGGCTGAAATGCTGGAGAGGTTTATTTTTTGATAAAAAGTTATCTGGGATGGGATTTTCCTCTCAAAAATACATCCAAATTCCTCTTGACACATCAGAACCTTGTGTCTTAAAGTGCTTTGAGTTCCTGCAGGGTCTGCTTATCCTTCTTGGTGTCATCTCCTCTTCCCCACTTATGTGCCTTTCTCCCCAGGTGACACATACTCATGAGCCTCTTACAGATGCCTACCTCTTGCACTCTGCAGTAGACAGTCAGATTGTGATCTGCATTTGGTATAAGGTTATAGTTTGGTATATGGTTAATAGGTTATGGTATAAGGAAGGTGAAACAAGACACTGCAACTCAGGCAGTTTACAAGGTTGTGAATCAGATATGTAGCACACGGAAATGTCTTGAAACTTCAGAGCTGAAGTTTGAAGTCATTCAGAGAATTATTCTGTCATGTACAGGTTTGAGCTAGCCCTGCATGGAGATGGGCACTGTCAGACTGCTCCTGTGGCACCTGTTTGCAGGAGAAAGGAAGGGTTATTGATCTATAGTGGGAAGTTTTTGAGAAGCTTTCCATATATATTCACTCTTCCTTTCCACTTCTGAAAAAAATATTCCTCTAAACCTTGGCATTTCATCCAAGAATGTGGATGTATTTCACCCTCACAGGCTAATGCAGAAGGGGGCATTATGGTTGCAGCTACTACTAAAGCGTCTCTGACTTAAAGTTTTTGCCTGACTGCATCCAAAAATGACCAGTTCCTGACACGTAAACCTCCTTCTCCATTTACTGAATCTATTGAGAAGAGTAGAGTAGCATGTGGAGACCTTATTCTCTCATACAGTAATGAGATTTTGGTTTGACTTTGCTGCTGAGTTTGCTGATTAATAACTTTTGATCATCACAGGATGTACAAATATACTTCAAACCGTTTCAAGACCCGTGCAGAGCAAGAGGTGAAGAAAGCAGAGCACATGGCAAGGATAGGTGAGTCTTTGAGGTATGCATGCATACCTCATGGTTTTGTGGTAGCAAAGGAAAGGACTGAAAGAGGCTGCCTTGCTGGATATGACCTGAAATTGCTTGCTTCTTTGATCATTATGGTTGCTCAGGAAAGTCTTACAATGACTACAGATGACCTAGACTTACTGCAATGCAATGGAAGGAACATGTGTTGTTCCCTACAGCCACTTCCTCTAGGGAGTACGTGTACAGAGTGGCCCTTGGGGTGACAGCTGTCTGCCCTGGCTCCCTCTGAAGCCTGGCTAAGCTGCCGCCCTGTTACCCCGCAGTTCTGCTCTTGCCTTTTGCATATCGTTAGCTTTTGATTCTGTTCACATTCTGTTCCTTCCCTGTTGAGGTAGTTGTAAAAAAAAAAAGGTTTTTATTCTGTCACTTGATGTAAAGTGATTGATCTGGGTGTACAAGAGTGTCCTGGTTTGTGTCTTGGTTGCTTTTTCCCCCCTTCAAGACATATCTTTTGTCTATCTAGTCTTCCCTTACTATTAAGTCCTGTAGTCCTCAGGAGAAACACAATTTGACATTATTGGATATTCAACATACAGAAATTACATAAAGATATAAATAGAGCATATAACTTCATTAAATTTGCATGAATTTAACATACAAAGTGGTCTCTCTAACCCTGATGGGGCAATGCCGTAATGAAGGAGGAATCTTGTAAGTTGTAAGACATGCTGACCTATATCTTCTGGTAGGTTTCATAAATCAGTCAGATGCATGTGTCCTCTCTCTGTGTGTAAGAGCTGCTCTAGGCACATGTGCATGTGTGTGCAGGTCAGAGACGCAAGTGGTGGTGCCACGTTCAGCCTGTGCAGCATCATTAGGGCACCATGATTTTGACTCTACCCAAAGCAAAGCAACAAAATGAAATTGTATAAATTGCTGTTTCCTCTTCTTCCTTTATGAAGTACAACCTAAGCAGATTTTATCCTGTGCTTCAGTCCTCATAGATGAATTTATTTTTAAGATTGACTCCTATAGCCAAAGCAGGTGTGCAGCACACACTTGCATTGCCTTCAAGAAGGTGCAAATAGTGTGATTTAGAAAGGCTTCTTTCTTGCAGCAGTTCATGAGACCTTTATGATATTTAAAAGTTGAGCTTTAGTGTCTTGACACTGAAGAATACTGCCATTCAGTGTCTCAGTGCTGAGAACAGAAACCATTGGTATGGAAACATAAACTCATTTTCATCACCAAAGCTAATCCACTGCCTCTGCTGGTGAAGTGGGTGCTGAGCAAAAGCTTTGAACATGGTGGTGAAAACTCACGGCAGACCTCAGACTGTTTCCTGCAGGATCTGATCACAGGAAGCCTCCAGGACTAAAACATTCTTGTAGTGTTAACCTCAGCTTCAGTGACACAGATCTCATTGCTTCTAAGAAAATGAATTTAATCTGTAGCAACCAAGTCCTCTTGATCTGCTGTCTCAGCTGAGCTAACTACAGTTCCAGTGTGCCGTGACTGCCTGCCCGGGTTGTGTGGGAATCCATCATCTGCAGAACTGTACTGAGGGACTGATGAGTCTCTGGAAGTAGCTTGTGAGCTTGTTGAACTAAAACTTGCGATAACCAAAAAAATAGCCATGGGGGGAAGGAAAAAAAAAAGAGACGTATGGACAGCTGTGACTATAGGTGGCATGGCTTTGGCATATTGACAAAGAGCAATGGCTCAGGAGTGAAGACATACATATATTTAAGATGAAGAAAAGCCACTTTTCATTTTTTGGGAACTGACTTCCTGCCTTGCGATAAGCTGTAGCATCCAGATCCCTAAGTGAGCAGATGGACCAGGAAAAAAGTACCATTCCTGGGCAAGGTATCAGTGAAAGATCATCAGCTGTTTTCAGTGTCTTTCTGAACCAAGACTGGATACTGCATTGAGGCATCTGAGTGTTGCCATTGCCTTGTGTCAAGAAATCATCTTAAAAGGATTGAAAAGCAGACAAACGGAAGAGGTGAGGAGTTACATGGGTGTCCAATAGCGAAAGTCATTAACAGGCATGTTCTGCACTGGATGTTAGTCCGGAGCATTTTATTGTGTCCGGTGACTTGCTTGGCAGTACCATGAGTTTGCCAGTCTGTTGTCTTCTCAGAGAATGTGCACGTGGATTCCAGCTGCTGTGCGCAGCTTGTCCTGCATAGGGCATGCATTTTCACCCGTTGAGGCCTCAGACTGAAGTGTTCCTCAGCCATGCATTCTCAGTGTCATTGTGTTAATGGAGCGGGTTTGACCTGTGCCCTCATGGATCTCCGCTGTGTTCTTTTCTCTAGACATAGTTGCACTTAGCCCACCAATTTCTACTGTACAGGCTTTGATTTAAGTGGACCAAGTGTTCTAAGCAGTCTCCAAACTCCTGTGTTTTTGCATTTAGCCAAGCTGTCTCTTGACGATGAAGTCGGTCACACAGTGCAGTTCTGTGACTTGCTTGATCAGCTGCTGTGAACCTCAGAGCATGCTTCCGTGGGAATTAGTGCAACAACACTCAAATGTAACACTAGATAGAAAGGAAAAGTAATTTTTATTGTAATGGTCTAAGTAACTTGACTGTGGTGATTTGCATTCCTGTATTTGCACACACCAAAAATGTGCATTTCTGCAAGTACTGCTGACCACTGCGTGGAGGACAGTGCACACCATTTATCAACCACTGGCTACAGCCGCTGGATTCCTTCTGGCTGTCAAAGAAGTGCTGCTCTTTGGAGAGGTGCTTGGTAATCTCTGGGAGCCAAGTGCTGCCCTGTCATTCTCTTTCTTACCTCATCCTCCGTAAATCTTGCAAAGTTGCTCCTCCGCTGTTGTGTTTCCTTGATCTGGGTGTCTCACAGCTGCAGTTTGTCTCCCTCTTGGGAGAGCAGGGAGGGAGATGTCTCGCAGGGTGTGCTGCAACCACGCTGCTGCCCTTCTACTGTGGGAGTGCAGGCCTGCTGCTCGTCTTGATGTGACACATCCTTCAGCACGTACCAAATGCTATCAGCACAGGCCACTCCTTTAACCCATGCAAATTCATTTCTTCTAGTCATCTTGCACATAAACATTTCCATTCATACTTTATTTATACCAGTCTTTCTGTTAGAAATCTCTGCAGCTCATGGGGGCTGCGGTGTCGCTGCATCCTCTTTCAGAAATGTTCATCCTCGGAAGCGAGCACAGGGAGCATCACAGCAAGGTCAGTGCTGCATCTGCAGGTGGCAGCTGCAGTTCCGACTTTCCCTGCTGAAGCAGGTCATTATTTCTTAGTCCATTTTTGCCCCATGAACCTCATAGCCTGTGGGATGGAGGAAGATTTGAGGAAAAACTTTTTTTACTGTGAGGGTCACAGAGCACTGAACAGGCTGTCCAGGGAGGTTGTGGAGTCTCCTTCTCTGGAGACATTCAAAACCCGCCTGGATGTGTTCCTGTGTGACCTGGTCTGGGTGATCCTGCTCTGGCAGGGGTGTTGGACTGGGTGATCTTTGGAGGTCCCTTTCAACTCCTGATATTCTGTTATTCTGTGATTACCCACTCAACTGGTTCTTGTACAGGCTTCTGACCTGAAAGGGAATGTGAGAGGGTTGTAACCAGTGTGCTCTTACATGGAGAGCATGCAGGTGCAAGGTACATGGTGCTTATTTAACAAAGTGACTTGTGTCTCAATTTTAGGAAGGGATTTGCTGACTGAAAATTAAATTTATTTTAAGAATTAATCTTAAAGGGTGATGTGTACCTATTGCGAGGCAGTCTTGTTGGTAGTCTGAGAGAGAAGGGAAAAAGGGAGTTTCTCTTAAGTGGTAAACTTTATGCATGCAAAGATCAGGTGTAGTGGTAGGTTTTCAGGACACCTGTCCTGTTTCGTGTGTAGCATAGATTTGTCTTCTCCCAGGCAAAATTTAGCAATTATCAACTATAAAAGCATTTACGAGAGCAGTTCCTTTCCCTTCATCTTTGCAAGAAAATTACCTCTTTGTAACTCCTTTTCAAGCCTGAACCCAGTCTTTGTTTTTTGAGAGGCTTTCTCTGTGTTCACACTTCCAGGCAGAACAGGCAGGGCCACTTGCTGCCTTTCTCTTTCCAGTTCCTCACCAGCTTCCTCATGGATCCTTCCTTTAAACATGTTTTTGCAGAGTTTAGATCTGCTGTTATGTCAGTGTTGACTGAGAATTCTGAGCAACTTTAAGATGGCGTGTGGGTGGTGCCCTCTCACATACGAGGTTTCTTTTTGTTCTTTTTTGTGTTACCTTTGTACCCCTATACGTGTCAGTCCAGCAAAGGCTCTCTGGAAGTCGGTCTCCTCAAGTGAATGCCTTATGATATGCTGATGTATTGAATAGTTGACATCATCCTCCTTTTCCCTGTGCCTTTCAGCCGAAGAGAAGGCTCGTGAGGCAGAGAGCAAAGCCCGTGCCCTTGAGCTGCGCCTCGGAGGGGATCTCACACGGGAGTCCAGGGTGAGCCTTGTGCTTTGACAGCACATCATCTTGTAGGCACTGGGGGACGGTTCAGGGTGCTGGCTTTGGAGCTGTGCTGGGTGGTCAGCATCCAGCTGTAGCAGCCGGTGGGTAGGTTAAGCAGGTGGAGACTTCAGTGGGTGGTGAGTTGCCAGCAGCATTCAGGCAGCTCTGTGGTCTCATCACCACTGCACGCATTTCAATATCTACATGTGGTTTCCAACCTCAGTGGGGAGCGTACTGACGTTCCTCTGCCCCCACAACCTCCACCTTCTGCCCACATTCCCCTTCTCACTCCTGAGTGGGAAGGCAGTCCCCAGCCCAGTGCTTTTTTTGATGTTGGCCTCCACAGAAAAGGCCAGAGGAACATGAGGCATTTGAACAGAAGTAAAATTGGGTGCTTTTCAGCTGTTCCCCCTCCCTGCCTGTGCAGCTAGCTCCAAAGCATTTGGGCAGGGGGTTTTGGAGAGGGGCTGTTTGCTCCCTCCAAGTAGGGCTGTGGCTCTTGGTAGGGGCAAGGCTGAGACCCAGGCCACTGCTGGTGGGTGGAGGGCTTGCTGGGATGCCAGGCAGGTCAGGAAGTGACACCAGGTTGAAATCACTGTGCTTCCTTATTGGCATCTAATGGAAACAACTATATCCAAGTACCCTGGCTGTTTCCCTGTGCCTCCATTGGCTTCTGGTTTCAGTTACTTGAGATATTTGTTTGCATTTAGACATTTTTCTCCAAGTAACTGTATAGCTGCTTAAAGAACCCAGAAGCAAGTGCTGCCTTGAATGTAGAGGTGTGCTGATTGTTGCCCTCCACCGTTCATGATGTCTTTACATTTAAAATGTTTTTGAGATCTTGAAGGGGTCAAACAATCATAGAAGTGAGTTAATTTCATGAATTTCACAGCAGCAGTTTTACTGTGTAGTGCCTGTTTGCAGGTGATGCTACGTCAGGTCCAAAACTCTGCAATAACCATGCGCCGAGAGGCTGATGTCAAGAAGAGGATCAAGGATGCAAAGCAGCGGTGAGTGCAAGGTGGTTCTTATGAAAGCTACAGTGAAACGGCTGTGGGGGTTATAGAGATATTTTCTAAAAATTTGCTGAGTCCTGTTATAGTCAGTGCTGTAAAATCCCAAAACATTGTTGTAACTTAGCTCTGGTTGCAGTTAACATCACTATAGATGTACTCACAGGAACATTTCACTCGTTGTACACAGATTTTTTGCAAATTTGTCATATGCATTTCACAAATGAAGTTGAAACCAGAAACAAATGCTCTTAAAACAAATGCTGAGTCTGAGAAAGTTAGGGATTTGTAAATACTAAGTCTCTGTTCCCACCTAGTTGTTTTGCATGCTAGTTTACATGGCTGCTTAGTTCAGAACTATCCCAGACTTGTTGCCAGAGATAGATCTAATGCATCTTAAGATACTAAAAATAAATAAATAAATACAGTTTTAATTTAAAAGTGCTAGAGCTGTGGTCTGAAGAATGCAGAAACTCTTGGGAGAAGCTGCTTTCTTCAGCCTCTATGTACTTTTCCATGTACAGCTTGTCTTTTAATTCTTGGTTTTGATGACATCAGTGCACTAAGTAAGTTTTTGTGAAAGGTCTTCTGGCCTTCCTGCCAGTGGGCAAAATACTTTTTCCTTTTAAAAAACTGAACAACAAACAAAGAGCTTGGACAATCCAAGTTTGTTTGAAAATAGCTTCTTTATGTCCTTTGTTGACTAGTTGGGAATGAGAGATTACAAGTTTTCTTTAGCAGTTCTTTCTGTTTAAATCTAAGAAGGTTTGTAGGCCACAAAATGTAAACCAGCTGGTTTGGAAGAATACCCCAATTATAGATACACTAAAACATTATCTCTAGTTAGGTTTCAGATATGTGATGATGAGGAAAACAGGTGTATGTGACAGCTAAATGGCAGCAGAGGATAAGGCCTTTTGTCTGAATTTCTGTACAGATTGGGTCATGCATGTTCCTGCGTGAGAGCTGCCGGGTGCTCAGCAAGCTCTGGGCAGGAGTGCGACTTTCCCTGTGTCCCTGCATTTGTCCCCAGCGGTCAGAGACAGTTCAGAGGGTCAGGCTTTTCCACAAGCTTGTACTTTATCCAGAAAACCGAAGAAATACCTGAAAAATATGTACAATAGGAAATCTTCTGTACAAAACAACTTCTGTGGCCTCTCAGAAAACTCTTGAGTTGTAGAGAACACCCTGCAACAGTTTTCTGCTGTTTCTCTGTTCCTGGGTGCATCAATGAAAGAAATACTTTCTGGTTTCCAAAGCCTGTGTAAGGTCAGGTTATAAATCCAGCTTGTAGGGCAGATACTAATGTCTCAGTAATAAAATCCTGGGCTCATGGCCCACCACTTAATTTTTCATGGTTTGTGTGATAATTTGACTTCCTGTCCTCTCTGATAAAAATGAGGAGATGCCTTTCCTATTTTGTAGGTGAGTGCACGTTGTTACTTGAAATTTAAGGCTCAACATCATTCTCCAGAAGTTAGAAAAAGAAAATTAATCCCTGAGATGGGTGTTTTGCCACACCTACTCATGCTCTCATATCACAGTTGTCGACCTGGATAAACTGAGACCAAAAGGGTAATGTTCTAGCTCAGCTTCTATGTTGGCAGTGTTTAAAACACCTCTTGGCAAAGGTTTAGGTTTAAAATTACTGAAAGCTGCTATTCCAGGTGTTTTCCTAGTAAGTTATTTTAGTCATGTGTTTTAAAGGAAGGTGGGTTACAGAGTTCTTGTAAATCTGTGTGGGGAAGAGGATGGCTTTAAACAGAAAATGAACATGAAATGAATCTGTTTCAGGGATTTATTTTGAGGTGCTTGACTGTTAAGACAGACTTGCATCTTGCTTCTGCGTATTATTATTGTTCAGTGCTCATGTATGCACAACTCAGGTTCTTTTAGTATCTACTATTATTTAGTAGACAGTTCATTTTAAAGAATTCCACTATCTTCGACTAATCACTTAAGGAGAAGCCAAATTCCTAATTGGGATAAAGCACATAAGTGCTAAAGTTTGATGGAGCGGGGATGGAAATAAGGGAAGTAAAAAACAAGAAGGATGGGTAGGAGAGTAATACAGACTGGGCCTTACAATAGTTAAAAGTTTAGACCTCATGTTTGATGATATCTTCAGGCTGAAGCTGAGGATCCTCATTATGAAAAATCCTCAGCATGGATTTCATGGAAGCTGTGGAACCAACTTAATTTAGTCTGTTAAAGAGCAGTAGTTCTGTTTTGAGACACGGGGATTTTGTTTAATATATAATGCAAAGAGATCTAAATCTCCTTGAGGCTTTCTGCATTGCAGGAGATACAATTTGTGATAATCAAGCAGAGTCAGAAATCTGTATGTGCACACAAACATACTTGAGGCCAACTTTTGTTGTAGTCAACTTTTGTAGAAATCATGCAAATTGCTATCCTGTCATTTCCAGGAAAAATATTTCTGCCTGGGCTGTGTGTTGTATCTTCAGAGTAATAGCATTGTAAAACTTGTAATTACGAGAACTTTCCCAGAATCTGAATTTCAAGAGTGTAGATTCATATCAAAATCTTAATTTCCATGCTTTATCTAGCATAGAGATCTACATCTGGAAAAGACAAACCAAAATAGCATTGGAGAGGACCAGTCTGTACCTAACAGTACATTCATAAAACTAGTTAACTAGGTTTTTTGAACAAGCAGATCTGAAGTAAAAACCAGAATCTATTCCTGAAGCAAAAAACCTATCCAAATTGATAATTATATTATCTGAACAAATACTGTCCAGCCTAAACTGGTTGTCTGTATTGCAAAGTTTTCATGTTTTGTTCATGTTTAGCTGTAACCATGTGTTTACATATGTTTTAAGAAAATAGCAGACAACAGTACAGATGTTAGGAAACCCACAGTGCTCAAAGGTGCTGGGTTTTCATACCCTCTGTCCAGTGACAGCAAATAATTAGTTTTATTTTCAACGTCTCTGGGGCTTGGTTTCATTCTCTTACAGGGCACTGAAGGAACCCAAAGAACTGAATTTTATCTTTGGTGTGAATATTGAGCAGCGTGAATTGGATGGCATGTTCATTTATAACTGCAGTCGACTGATAAAGATGTATGAGAAGGTGGGCCCGCAGCTGGAGGGTGGCATGTGAGTTCCTGAAGATTTTTCAGCAATCTTATTGCTTAAGCCTGGCATGTTCCTATTTGTAACTAAGGCTGTGCATTGACCTTGTTTTGCATTAATAGTTCTTCACAAGCATGAGGCTGACTCATTTAGTCACCTCTTAGTTTGGATTCTGACAAATAATTTATATTTAATGGCAGAGAATGGTTGGGGTTGGAAGGGATCTTTGAAGGTCACCCAGTCCAACCCTCCTGTCAGAGCAGGATCACCCAGACCAGATCACACAGGAATGCATCCAGCGGTTTGAATGTCTCCAGAGAAGGAGACTCCACAACCTCTCTGGCAGCCTGTCCAGTGCTCTGTGACCCTCTCAGTACAGAAGTTTTTCCTTATGTTTGGGCTGAACTTCCTGTGTTCCAGAAATTGCCCGCTATTGCCTAGTATTTCCTTGGTTTCTTGGTAGAGTTCTCTACACTGATTTTGGTCATACCTGCAGCAGCATGAGGCTTTTGTGCTCATTGCTGGCATTTGGGGCTGATGAATAGTGGTAGCAATACTGCCTCATTCTAGGGACACGGAGAATATGTCTTGAAAGGAAATACAAATATTCAAGCCCACCTTTTTGCGTGCTGGCTTGAGTCTGGTTTAGAAAGCTGATAGATTAAAACCCCTACTGCTGCAGGAGTGGGTGAGTGAGTGTGTGTGTTACCTGCTATTTTCTATATTGTTTCTCTGAACAACAACCTTGTAGTATAATGATGTTTGTGACTGTGTGACCCTCTTTCAGGGCATGTGGTGGAGTGGTAGGTGTGGTGGATGTGCCTTATTTGGTTCTGGAGCCAACCCATAATAAACAAGACTTTGCTGATGCCAAAGAGTATCGACATCTGCTGAAGGCCATGGGAGATCATTTGGCTCAGTATTGGAAGGATGTTGCTATAGGTAATGAAGCTTCACAGTTACCAGGGCCTGGAAGGGGGAAATGGTGGCTGGAAGGCAACTAAGGGGGAGGGCAGCCAGGGGTACAGGTGGTGATTTTTGTGGTAATGGCTCCATACTGAGCAGGGGTTTGTTTGTTTTCCAGCTCAGAGAGGTATCATCAAGTTCTGGGATGAGTTCGGTTACTTGTCAGCAAACTGGAACCAGCCTCCATCCAGTGAACTGCGCTACAAACGCCGAAGAGCCATGGAGATCCCTACCACAATTCAGTGCGGTGCGTCCCACCAGGCTGTGATTAGGAGGCTGGCCCTCCCTGGGGGAGTGGGGAGGGACGCCTTGCTGCTAAATGGGTAGGAGATCTGAGATGAGGTTTGCTATCATTATCCTCTTGTAGAGCTTGTCAGAGTTGCCTTTGTCTGCACTTGGTGGTACACTTGAACACCTTGGCATGAGGTTCCTTTCCTATGAGATTTACTAACTGCAGTGTTCTTCAGGTGCCCTTACAGAACGGGGCAGATGTGGCCAGTAGCGGTGTTGAGGATGAGCTTAGACATGTCAGATGTACTGGAACTGGCTAACCACCCATCCCAACACTAGAATAAGATCTGAAACTTCTCCGTAGGCAATGGAAAGTGGCCAATTAATTTGTATTCTGATGCACTGGCCTGCTAATCTGTACTAGGTGCAAGCACAGACTCTGCACCTCTAAACAGCTCTGGCTAAGCTCTTACTGGGGTAAAGGAGATCTCAAAAACCCACTTTTGTTTCTTATTAGAGGGACACCAAACTCCCTCAACCTCATCTTCCCTGTGGGACTTGGAGATGAGGATGTAATAAGGAACGTGAGGCCAATCTTGTGGAATTGCTTTCTTTTAGGCTCTCTTGCCTTGACAGTTTTCTCAGTCCTTTACAAGTTCCTCCCAAAGAGGAGGAGATTTCCTGTCATTCTTGTTCTCTGCTGTTGACATCCTTCCAGAACCTGATTTAAGAACATTTGCATTTTCTTGGCAAAACTTGATTTTTTTTAAGCTGTTGATTTCCTGGAAGGCCCAACAACGCTGTGGAAGCCAAATCTGTCTTCCTGGTTAATCTAAAATTTATTAGTTAGTTATAAATAGATAAATAAATGCTCCAGAGGGCTGGAGAACCTCTCCTATGAAGAGAGACTGAGAGAGTTGAGGTTGTTCAGCCTGGAGACGAGAAGGCTCTGGAGAGACGTTGGAGTGGCCTTCCAGTACTTAAAGGGACCTACTGGAAAGCTGGGGAGGGAATTTTTACAAGGGCATAGAGTGATAGGACGAGGGCAAATGGCTTTAAACTGGAAGAGGGTAGATTTAGGCTAGACATTAGGCAGAAATTCTTTACTGTGAGACTGGTGAGACACTGGCCCAGGTTTCCCAGAGAAGCTGTGGATGCTCCCTCCCTGGCAGTGTCCAAGGCCAGGTTGGACGGGGCTTTGAGCAGCCTGGGCTGGTGGAGGTGTCCCTGCCCATGGCAGGGGTTGAACTGAGGGAGCTTTAAGGTCCCTTCCAACCCAAACCATGCTGTGATTCTATGATTTTATTTATTTTTAGTGGATAAATCTTTGACTTGTTTTGTGTTGATGTCAGTAAGGGACAGCCTGACTTCATAGATGAGCAATGATTTCAGGACTGGCTGTTCCATTTGGTTTGTACATGCTGTCATCGCAGCAGTGAGCGTGAGATCCTCTAGTATTGATGATGCCAGGCTTCATCAGATAGTTGTTATGGATGCCTTGTACAAGATCTGAGATCCTTCTCCAAGCATTTTGTGAGCGTGAAGCAAGAATTGACTCAGTATATCCTGTGACTCTCTCACTTTTTTTTTTTCTTTTTGTGTGTGTGTGTTTTTTGGTTTTTTTGGGGTTTTTTTGGTGGGTTTTCTTTTGTTGGTTTTTTTTGGTGTCAGATGCACTTTGGGAATTTATGTGGTCCTTGGGTGTTAAATGGGCTTGAGAAGTGCTATCAAAAAAAATTATTTTGTGGCTCAGGCTGTATATTTCTGACCTGCAAAGTGTTTGTCTAACAGATGTATGTCTGAAATGGCGGACTCTCCCATTCCAGCTGAGTTCAGTGGAGAAGAATTACCCTGATAGCTGGGTATGCTCTATGAACCCTGATCCTGAACAAGACAGGTAAGAATCAGTCCATATAAAGACTTTTCTGCAGCATGCCTTATCTGTGCTTTTTTTTTTTTTCTGGTCATCTGTTCTTTGAGAACAACTGCAGGGATAGGCAGTTACTCTGTACCTTTAAGCTATGCTTACAGTCTGAAAAAGGTAGTGATGATGTCTGTATTTGGAGCTTACACATTGGTGGGCATCTGTGCAATACAGAGATTGCAGAGTGCACCCTCAGCAAGGTGACAAGTGACACCAAACTGGGGGGAGTGACTGATATGCCAGAGGGACCTGGACAGGCTGGAGAAATGCGCTAACAGGAGTCTCATGAGGTTCAGCCAGGAGAAGTGCAAAGTCCTGCCCTGGGAAGGAACAACCCCAGGCACTAGTACGTGCTGTCCAGCCTGGAGCAGAGAGCGAGCTCAGGAGGATCGCATCAATGTATATAAAAACCTGAAGGCAGGCTGCAAAGAGGACAGAGCATGGCTTTTCTCAGTAGTGCCCAATGGCAGGACCAGAGGCCTTGGGCACAAACCATAGCACAGTACGCTCCCTCCGAACATCATGAAATAATTTTTCACTATGGGGGTGACTGAGCCCTGGCACAGGGTGCCCAGGGAGGTTGTGCAGTCTCCATCCTTGGAGATATTCCAGGACATGATCCTGGACAACCAGTTCCAGGTGGCCCTGCCTGAGCAGGTGGTTGGACCACCTGACCTCCAGAGACCCTTCCAGCTTCAACCAGTGATTTGGTGAAATTAAGTTCCTTAATGGTTTTTCTGCACTGCCACTGGAAATGTGATTGTAGCTTTAGTTTATGCATGTTAATTTTCATGTAGGGACCATAGACAGCAATTGAAGATAAGCACAGACTGGAAGCAGTATGTGTTCAGTGGGGTCTTTGCAGTTGTCCTTACGATTGCTACTATAGTTGCAGCGCCTTAGACAAGCAAACTGCAGCAACACCTGAGTTGCAGTGAGCCCAAGAATGACATTTTGCACACTGGAGGGAGCAACACATCGATTCATTTACCAGCAATGTGTTTCACAGTTATAAAATTCAAGTAGAATCTAGTAATTTATTTGAGGAAAATTATTGCTCCGGGGTGCTGCTTCTCTGTGGCAAGAGACACTGCTAGAAGTTGATTCTTGTCTTTGTTGTATAACAAGGGAAGCTCAGCTTTAATTCAGGTGCCTTGGCTCAGTGCTTCAAGACAAAGGGAACGAATCCAGGTGGTAACTCTTAATTGGAATAAAAAAATTAACATCTGTGGCTGAAAAGGGTGCAAAGAAGTATTGATGTTGATATTTGATATTTGGAAAGTACTGATTTTCTGGCTTCTTCCTTTTGGTACCTGTCATTGGAAGAATATGGATGCTAACTTCTGTGTTGCTCCATGCGTTTGTGCCCTAGTGCGGAGCTATGAAGAGTGTTGTGCTGAGGATGACCTCCGACTAAACTGTTGGGGCAGGGCTGAATCTGCAAGCTCAAGCAGAGGCTGCCCCACTTCCAGCCTCTCAGATGGAAGCAATAGCAAGGCTGGTGATGTGTTGCTGGAAGACGCACACACAAACACAGATAGAACACGTGTGTATCCACGTCTGGACATGCAAATCAACACAGGCAGACACACGCAGTACTTGTGCAAACTGCACCAACAGCCTTGTCCTTTTCCCTCTTGGCTGATCAGGAGAAAGGATCAGTAGTGGAAATATCTGTGTCTGTATCTGGCCCCTGGGTGCTGTCCCTGTGGTTACTGGCACTGGGATAGATGAGCCCCGGGGCCTGCAGACCTGCTCACGTGGACACAGGTAACACATACACACTACAGACCTCCCAGGGTCTCACCCTGGGCATGCTCTTCATCCCGTAGCAGATCTGGTTCCTTTGTCTTCCCAGGTGCCTGCTGCCTAGAGGCACCGACAGCTCTGCCTGCACCACCCTATCCATCTCCAGCAGTTGGACAGGACTCCCCAGTTCCTCCAGTAGTCAGCTCCTGCAGGCTTACCCTTAGACACTCCCTCTGCTTGGTCCCAGGCCACCTCCTTGCTGGCTCATCCAGTCCAACATTTGCTCTGAATCACACATTCATGCGCACACCTGCAATCCCTGCAGCTGGTGGCACCCAGGCACATGGGCCCCTGTGACCAGTGGTCCTACTCCAGATGCTGGCACTCAAACCCCTATACACGCACGCATGTGCAGAATAGAGCCCTTTGCCCAGTTAGAAATGGGTTTGAGTACAAAGTTAAGTGTAGTGACACCACCTGTTTATGTACAACTGGCCCTTTTGAGCCTTTTATTTCTCTGTTTACCCATGTTTGTTCCTCCCCAAATCATCTCAGTCCCTTCCTTTACCTACTTTTGGTTCCTCCCATCAGTCCAAAAGATGCTTTGAGTTGCTGCTTCCATTGACTGGACACTGGGGCTGAGGCTGCCATGGGACAGCCCCACCAGGAGCCTAGATGGGTTATCTGTACCTCTTGAGTACCTCATTTGCATTCCCTGAGCTGTGTTTGGGCCTCTGATGTTGTGGAAATGGGCCTTGGATGGGCTGGTGGCTCCTAGTATAGCATTGGGAGCAGCCAGGGAAGGGTCTTACCTAGGTTGCCCCATTTGCCATTGTCTTTGTGCTCTTTTGCGTGTATGCAGATGAGCTGCTTTATCATGTAACCTAACAAGAATCACAGAATCACAGAACATTAGGGA